TTTTTTAATATTAAAAATATTATAATTAAAATTTATCATAATAAAATATTTTAAACTTGTAAAATATGATTTAAATTTATGATATATAATTAATATTATGATAAAGTAGTTTTTTTTATATTGATAAATAGTTTTAAAAATATTAAAATTTATTTTATGAATAAAAATAAATATATACTAAAAGAGATAAGAAACTTAAAATATAAAGTGTAAACAAAAAGATAAAAGAAGAGTAGTTTGAGATGGTTAAAAAAAGTAGGTCAATTGTTATATCAAATTATTTTTGAAAGGAATAAAAAATAAAACAAATAAATTAAAGGCTAAATATATAAAACCAAGAGAAGACATGTGACTCAGCAACAGTGAGAATAACCCCTAAAAATAACTTCATTCAAGAATAATTATAAAAAAAAACTTTCATTAAAAAAAACTCTTATAAATACTATAATTCAAGTACGGTGATCAGATTTATAACATAAGAGTGTGTATTTTTTTTTTACAGCAACATAAGAGTATATTTAAAGATTACAAGTTGGTAATTAAAAATTAAAATTTCATAAGTTAGATTATTAAATTAAAAGTGTTTGATAAAAATAATTATTAAAGTAATTGGTAAATGCAAAATAATATAAAGAGATGTATTTATTAAAATGAAAAAAAGTTGGCTTGTGCTTAATTAATCAAGTTTTGATGCAAGGATTCTCATATGAATTTGTCTATCAACATCGTTGTATTTTGATACTTGTTTGAGTCTATTCTTTGCTCGCACTTGTCATTTCAACAATATCTCACTTAAATGTAAGTCCGTTCTGTGTTGAATGTTCCCCTCAAACAAAAAACTTATTTCTTTCATCATCTAACGTACATACATGCTTGAGCATTGTATTTATAACTCCAATTATTGTAGTACAAAAGATATTCCTTCATTCCAATTGGAATAAGTATCTGTGATTAACTTTAACATGGCACAATCATAAACAACAATATGAACAATTATTATAACTTTGCTTTCATCATTGAACTCAAAATGAACACCAAGTTTAAATAAAATGAGTGATAGTATACAAATAATACCATATATTTTAACAAGACTTTTTTTCTCAATGTAAAATGCGAACAAGAAAAATCATGACACCTAATTTAACAAGATTTCTCCACTATTAAAAGTAAGATTCCAAAATTTCTTTCTATCCCTGCAAAACACTCTCATTATATTAACATGTAACTCCTAACTCTTGTGCATTAATATTAACATGGATAATTAAATGTGGGGTAACTTCTCACAATTAATCATATCCTTATATGAATAAAAAAAATCATATCCTTATAATTTCTATACATTAACATGATTCCTTGAAATTTCATTATCAAAGAAATTCTAACTCACTTTACATGCTTATTTGAGATTTGTCATCTTAAGAGAGTCTCACAAGCATATCCACTCCCAAACCCACACTGTCCCAAAAAAAAAAAAAGTGGTTAGAGAGAGGTGAGAGGGCCTAGCCCACAATGGAAAGAATGGAGCGTGTGTTGATGTTGGAGGAAGCAATTAAAAAAAAGGAAGGACGTAAATGTCATACTAACTCCATATTCATTTCTTGTTCTAAATTTATACACTTGATTAAAAATTAAATTTTTTACGTAAATAATTTTTTTTAAAAAAAAATTATCAAAATAACATCTGTTACACTTTATTTATATAAATAGAACTGATTATTGTTCACATTTAGAATTCGGTTCTCCGAGAACCGAATTTTGAGCTTCAAATTTTTTTTTGTAATCAGAATTCAGTTTTTGGGGAATCAAATTCTGAGTTATTTTTAGTTTTATTTTATTTTCTAGTTGTGTAAATAAAGTGTAACAATGTTATTTTGATAAATTAAAAAAAAATTATTTACGTAAAAAATTCTTAAAAATCCATAATATCATTCCCTTCGTGTATATACATATATAAAAAAAAATTAGATTAATAGGTAAGCGTTGGACGTTTAGACATAGTTTAGCGGTTGATTTATTTGAAAAATGAAAAGAAAGAGCATGGAAGATATTGGCTTTTTGACCTCAGTAAATTAAAAAAAAATTAAAATACATGAAATAAATTTTAAAAAAAACTAATTATTAAAATAGGTAGTTTTGGACAAGTCAGCATACACGTGGCACTGAAAACGCCTGGGGGTGGGCGTTTTTTAGAAAAAGCCTCCCCCAGGCGCCTTCTATTGTTGATGTGGCACGTGCAGATTTGAACTGAAAATGCCTCCCTCCCAGACGTTTTGTTGACGTGTCAGATTTGAACTAAAAACGCCTCCCCCCAGGCGCCTTCTATTTTTAGAAAGAGTCTCCCGCCCAGGCACTTTCTATATATGGCAAATTTGAAAAGAAAGAATCTGTGGGTAGGCATTTTCAAAGCCACCTCTCCCTGAGAAACATTGTGTTTGATTAAGTTATTTTTTTATTTTTAAAATCATTTCATAAAATAACTAATATTTTAGTTTACATATCGCAAAGAGTAAATGTTTATTATATTTAAAATTTATAATAAATTATACATATTGTACTAACCGTACTTCGCACCCGGGCTCCTAGCCCGGATTAGTGTTGCAAACAAGTAACCCCGGGCACGCGGTGCATGATGTCAGCCCGACATTTGAGCGAATCATACCTGATTCCGAGGATCTCGTCCCAGACCAGATCCGCCCTTCAATTATATCATATCATATCATGATATATCTTATCTCAAGCCCAAAGGCCCAAGAAAACCCTAACTCACACAAAGGTATGTGCATTATATATATACGAGACTCATACTCATACAGACCCTAACTTTAGCATCGGAGTCTCTTTTGCAGGTACCTCCCCCATCTCGGAGCACCAATACACCCAGCGAAGGAGGCTCACCAATCTTACCCGGCGGATCAGCTCTACAGCAGATTTCCGGTAAGAACATTTGGCGCCCACCGTGGGGCCGATCAGACCAAGCTCTTATCGGCTACCCGCACGGTCCGTACCAGGAACCGTATCAGACGAGCACCCAAGCAAAATGAGCAACGAACATACAGCTTCAGGAGACTCAACCCGCGTCACCAACCTGACAATCCTAAAGAGCACAACTGTCCACGCTCAAACCCAATGGCGGTACCCCGATCGTCCCTCCGACTCACCTCTCGGCCCCGGCGAGGCAGTCCGGGACCTGGAAGACCGGGAAGCAGGGCCTAGCCCCCCAAACCAATTAGTAAGCACAATTGCGGGCGGCTTCGCAGGGGGCGGCGCCAGCAGCTCGTCCCGGAAAGAACACCTACGCAAAGTCAACCGCGTATACCCCGCCACGCATACTGTGCGTCGAGACTCGCCCACCATATCTTTCACCAACGACGACTACGTCGGAATCAGTCCAAATCAGGACGACCCCATGGTCGTGACAGTAACTTTAGCCAATTGGAAAGTTCGCAGGACCCTGGTCGACCAGGAAAGCTCGGCCGATGTCCTATACTGGCCAACATTCCTCAGGGGCAACCATCCACCCCAGAGGACGAGTGGACTTATTGACGACCTTCGAAACACCGCCGGCCTCCCGGCAAATCCTGGTTCGGTACCTACTGGTGGAGGCCGACTCCACCTATAACACCATCATCGGCAGGGCAACCCTAAACCAACTCGGGGCGGTAGTGTCCACCCCGCATCTTACCATGAAATTCCCGGGGCACGACGGAAAAATCATCTCCATCAGAGCAAACCAGCAGGAAGCGCGACAATGCTACGTAGACAGCCTAGAAACTGCCCTCCCAATCAGACAACACAAAAGCGACTTCACTGTTCTAACCCGTGCTGACCACGAGGGAACCACCGACCTCGATCCGAGATCCGACGCTCACGATGAGCGGCCCAGTCCCGTCGATGAGCTCGACGATCTCCAAATTGGAAAGCTCCCCAGCCAAACAACAAAGATCAGCAAACAATTAGACCCCAAACTACGACAACAACTCCAGGAAGAAATCCTCAGGAACGCCGATCTCTTCGCTTGGTCCAGCGCTGACATGCCCGGCATAGACGCCAACTTCATCTGCCACAGGTTAGCGATACACAAAGAGGCCAAGTCGGTCGCCCAA